AACGTAGCAGATTTGGTCAACAATTCTACAGTCCAAACCTCCTGTCTTTAATATCATCATGTGTAAAACATAATTATGCACATTCTACAATTACATTTACACACAACATATAGATATACTGTACAATACAATTCTGGAACATTGAGTAACGTGTATATGATGGTAGCAATTCAGCATTTTAGTTTTATTCAGCATTTAAACATGCATTGATATTAACAACACACATTCCAAAGGCCATATATATAATAAAGATCTCACTAAAAAACTAAAAATTATGTGAGAAATTTCCTATCATTTAGCATTATGTCAAAAATCAACAGCGTTGAATTCAAAGCCTTTCTATATTATTCTATGAGCCTGATTTTTCGCTGCACTTTTCTTTTTTGTTTCACACCTAGTTTGACCAAGATTGACAATTGTATTGTCACTTCCTTTGTGAAACCCTGTGTCAACAAGAGAACAACACCTCTCACACAAAGGGAACATTGCTCTATACACAAACTAATTATTTTAATTGTGACTAAAGCCTATAATCTACTCCCACAACTATGCTGCAATTCTGCTACCAATAGAGAAATATGTTACGTTCAATATATTACACAAAGTTTTGTACTTTTTTGTCAGCTATAATTTAGACATGAAGGTAGATTTGGTTGTTTTTTCTTTCTAAAAGTGCTCCTCCTTTGGTAATCTCTGGGCGGAGTCCAAACGACTCTTTCGGCAAGACGTGATGACGTTCATTATAAGGGCCCATTCAGGGTCCAGGGCTGAATACATTACACGGAAATACGACACTATAAATGGCAGCGAGCTTCTCTTATCGGACTTACGCTGAAAGCATTACCTGCCGTCCGACCATACCTCGAATTCCTCCTACCGCAAAATCACTTATCGTAGCCGACTGCTGATGTTTCTTTTTCACTTAACGTCAAGAAAATTGCACTCTTTACGTGAGCACTAGAAGTTCTATGTTGTAACTTGTACACTGTCTGTTGTGGAGTTACAAGTTTGGAGGAGTAAAGATGTACCGAAGTTTGCTGGTGTGTTTTTTCTGTAGCAACAAGAAGAAAGAGTGGGGTATTTTGCCTTGGGGGTTAGAATTTTAGCGATATGGCTACCATAGGCAGGGTAGTAGTGACCTCTCTCTGGTACACGGCCAAACCTTCTTATTTGGAGTCAAGAGTTTTATCAGAAAAAAAAACTAACCATGCTTCAAAATGACCTTGCAAATGTCATAAAACTTAAAAGTTAATAGGAAGCATTATAATGATTCTGTGCTTGACTTGTGTATAAGAAACTACTTGTGTATCAGAGGGCACTTGTAAGTATGCCATCACTATCACTGCAATCCATATCTTATAGAACATTTTTTTAAAACAAAATTCTCTTCTAAAAGGAACCTAGATTACCATTGTTGCTTGTAGACTGTATACGAATATATAAGACCAGCACTGTGCGCATGGCTTATTCTTCCTTATCTTTAAAAAGAATGTGCAGCATTTGAATTAATTAGGTGTAGGTATGATGCCTAAAGGAGGTAAAATTACTGAAAATTTTAAAAGGTTGACATAGGTAGACAAAACATCCATGTAAAATTGTGCTAATTTCAGAATATCGTGCAGTTTGTTCCTTACTAAAGAGATTTAATCTTCCTCAAATACATTCTATTTTTACTGTGCAAAAAAAAAAAAAACTGCAGTGACTTGTGCTGAAGAGACAGATATCCACATTTTAAAGACTCTAATGTGTTGTTGATTTTTCCTGACTGATTTCCTAAAATGTTTTGGAACAAACTCTGCCCATTTCCTGAGGTGAGGCGACTTCCACCGGGACCACCGACAGAGACGGAACACAACACACAACTCATCAATCTCTCCTGACATCCCCCCCTCCCAACAACAACATTACCCATCCCTGCACTAACTAACTATCTCTTCTTCCCATCATGACTCTTACCTGCCGACAGGTGTGTTGTCTGTAAACACCTGAGCAGATAGACAGTTTCCTGAAGAGGTGACATCCTATCTTATCTACGTGCACCAAGGCTTAGTCAGAGGTTTTTTACCAAAGGTTTGAATGGGGAAATGTACAATGTATATGTCAGATTATAGAGGTGTGTACTAGTACCTGTACCAGTACTAGTACCTGTACCAGTACTTGTACCTGTACCAGTACTTGTACCTGTACCAGTACTTGTACCTGTACCAGTACTTGTACCTGTACCAGTACTTGTACCTGTACCAGTACTTGTACCTGAAGTTACATTATGTTTTACCTACATGGACCAAGGCTTAGTCAGATTTTTTTTACCAATGGTTTTGAATGGGAAATGCATATGTCAGATTATAGAGGTGTGTACCAGTACTTGTACCTGTACCAGTACATGCACCTGAAAAGTTAAATTCTATTTCATCTACGTGCACCAAGGCTTGGTCAGATTTTTTTTACCGATAGTTTGGATGGGAAAATGTATATGTTAGATAATAGAGGTGTGTACCAGTACTTGTACCTGTACCAGTACTTGTATCCGTAAAGTTACATTCTACTTTACCTACGAGCACCAAGGCTTAGTCAGAGAAAGGGTGTCCCAAGAGTTTTCTACCAATAGCTTGGATGGGGAAATGTATACGTGTATGTCAGATTATAGAGCTGTATACCTGTACCTGTATCTGTCAAGACCTTTAAAATTACGTCCTATATTACATATGTGCAATAAAGCTTAGTCATGTGGTCTTCAGGGCTGTTACTATAGAGTTTTCTACACATGGTTTGGATTGGGTTATACCTATACTGTATTAGATTCTGTATCTGTATCTACCGGTATATAACGTTACTTACATGTAGCCAGTATAACTGCCCCAAAGTTAGTACTTTGGTTCAACGAGGACCACGAGACGTTAAACGGATAGTGAGTGAGACCGTTAAAATTACTCTGAACATTTGAGGTGAGCAACAGTCTATTGTGTTGAAAGAAAAATACTGTAAGTCTACAAATTTCCGCGGTATATTTAGATTCGCGGAATTCGCGGGGACCTTTGTACCGCGAATCTATTTCCCCGCGAATATGTTTTGCGTAAGTGTGCCCCCCTCCCCACATGCATTCACGAGGGCCGATTCACGACGGTAAGCGAAACACTGAAACAACACACGCGATCCACAAATCACTGCAAATCAACTTTATTCTCAGCAAATGTACGTATGTTGGATATTTTTTTAAAGTTATACTGATATCAAAAATAATATTATGAGACACCGAATCGCGATACTGCGGCACTGGCCGTGTCAAAGTCAAACGTGCACCGCCGGACAAAAATCTTTGCGTGCAGAGCGCCGGCCATGCGCGCCCGGGCGCTTGAAAATTGCGGGCACATCGGGCAAATCTACAAATATTTTGATGAAAAATAGAACTGCTAGTATCTGGGAAATGTTAGTTGATTCTCTTTTGCGCCCTGCTATGCAGGCGTTTTTTCTTCTTCTTGTTTTCAATAGAAACGCTGCCGTGGGCCTACAAAACCGAATGCGACCTTTGCATACTTCCGGGTTCAAAATCTCACCGAAAACGGCATAAATTTGCTTAGGAATATATATTTTCTCGAAAGATTCTTACTTGATTATGCATTTCTTCACTAGATTATCGATGTGTAGTTGTGAAAAATAGCGTTTTAGCGCTTATTTCCGAACAAAGAAAATTGTTTACACGCGCGTCAGATTGATAGAGCTTTACCGCCGGCAGTCTCGCGCGGTGCACGAAACAAATTTTTGCGCCGCATTTTAGGAGATAAATGCCGGGACACGAACTGTTATTATTTTAAACATTCACTTTACAAGTTCTTCTTGGAATGGCCAAGGAGAAATCGCGAATCTAAAAATACCGCGGATTGTCCATTTTCCCGAAACCGCGAACTTTAGGCCCCGCGAATCTAAAGAGACTTACAGTACTTCATTACCTCATTATGAAGTACTGTTTTTTGGTTACAACAAATCTCACCACAAGAAAAGTGCCATACACAATCATCTACAGATACATACATACATGTGGGGAAAACACATTTAACCTTCTCCCTGCTGCCTAACCCCTGAAGCAAATGAATACCAAGTGCCAAAAGCTACTTCAGCAGAGAAATGGTTAATCAGGCTGATCTAAGCAGTTCAACTGTGTGACATGAATCTTAAGATAACAATAATTACCAGGGATGGGCAGTGGAGACATCTGCATGAGATAACAGTTCTACTTTAAGAGCAAAAGTTAGGCCCACTGGGAAAGAGGAAAGCTTAGAATTAACCTTAACTTTTGGGGGTTTAAACTGAGGAATTTGAAGGAAAAAGAAATGTCCAGACAAATGACGAAATGCTCAGAATGAAAGACAATCCAAAAAAATTAAATATTCAGCTAACTATGTTTGAAACATTATGTCAATAGTCTGGGACAAAATTTCCCCCAAACGCTTCTGTACTATTGTCAACTTTAGCCTAGTGTAGCTCTGCAAAATCCAGGCAGGTAGTGTATCAAAAGAGACCCCTAGAGACTGGTGTACATATTGCAGGATGCAGGATGATTGCACTACAATTGACTCAATGTATAGCAAACATGATATATATCAACTTGTCTAATGTCTAATAATGCTTCCATCTATAAGGAACAGAAACTACAAGATAAAGAAAAAGATTGATTATCAGAATGCACAGGAGATATTGTGTACAATAAAAGTTCTTCCCTAAAAAAATTCATTTCAGTACAATTGACAGGCAACATATGCTCACAATTGCCAACCTATGGAATATTGGATGCAAGAAAGGTACATGAATGTTTTAATGATGAAAACAAGTAGGTGTGTTTCTCAATCTTCCTGATCACGTAGATTTCATAATAAAAACTTTTTTTTGCCAAACTTTTTTTTGGGTTCCCAGAGGATGTCATCCATATAATCAGATCAACATGGCCTAATGTAACTTATGAAGTAGAAAAGAAGCATTGTGAGAGTTTATTTGACATGACTGACCTTACTGACGAGGACTACAGGCATGCCGGAAGCGTGGAGTGTAGCCAGGAGGGACATTGGAGCCATCCCTGATAGCAGGTACGACAGGATAGCAGCGTAACAACCTGGGGAACATATTAACGGTCAGTAAGCTGTGCAAGTGCAGTGAGCCTAGTGTTAGTCTATAGAAATACCCTAAACAGAAAGTAAAAAGTCTTCTTCTTGGGAAATTATTTTTTTTTTTTGCAATCTCACAGATAAGGATTTTATTTTATCATGAAAGTTCATCTGTGTTGGTAGTTAGATGTTTTAAGTTACAACTTTCAATCCAACAGATACACAGACATAGCCTGGTTACCAAACCTATTATAGCTCCCGAGTCCTACATCCTCTCCGCAAATAGAGGATGTAGGACTCAGGAGCTATAATAGGTTTGGTAACCAGGCTAACACAGACAAGCCATGTGCACAAGTCTATTGAAGAAGACCAGAGTGACTGGTCAAAAGCTCTAGATGAGAACCATTCTTTGTGTTGGATAAAAAATTTTAACTTTAAACTGGGTTTTATTTTGTTGACAAAACAAGCAAACCATGGCATAGTCTTATTGTACTAAAGGAGGTTTTAATAGAACCTAAGTTGGGAATGGCTACTTTAGCTTTACCTCAGCCTCATTAGGAACAAAATCATTGATACAAGAGATATCCAAACTGTAAAAACACTAACCCAGGAAGCCAACAGCTGCTGCATGTTTTCCCTGGAAGTACAGAACCATGAAGGCAATGGCTGCTGTCTGGAACAGCATGAACAGGGCCTCACCATAGGCACTGTGGAGGGAAACAACACAGATGAATCATTGACATATTGATAACATGCAGTACTGGACCAAACTGCAAGGTGGCACTAATGCACTGCCAAAACCTAAGTCAAAACATTACCTGTACTGCCTCTCTTCAGTATCAGAAATCATATAGTAATGCAACAACTATTTTTTTTTACACATTTCAAGAATATGCTGTATACTAATGTACAATAGTATCTATGTTCAGTGGTGCACCCACTGTATGGAATTACATGCACAGCTTCAATTTTGGTTGCACCACCCAGTATTCTAATGCGTTCGATCCCTTGCATTATTCCTGGGTATGTAGATGTTGTGTCCTTGTACTTAATATGATTTTTCTCACTCAACCTAGGTGTTAAATGGGGAGGTAAAAGGCAGTGGAAGGAGAGAGATGGGCTCTGCCTTTAAATCCCATGCCCTAGATACAGTGGATTAACAAAACACTGCCCCTTCAGCCTATGGGACTACCTTTACGTATACCTTTTTACCTCCAATAAGATTCTATGGTGGCAAGGCAATATCCATTGACCAAGAATAGTCACTCCTTGACCAATGGATATATTGCCTTGCCACCATAGAATCTTCTACTTAGAGAATTATTGACTCAAGAGTATGGCCAGTCTACTAGTACATTGTCAGTAGTCCTTTTATTATCAAGCTTTTTTGATTAGTGTTATGCTGGCTTACCTGAAGGGGTACTTGTTAGCGTAGGAGTACGCCAGTGTGTTTGTGATGGCGGTTAGTTCCAGCAGCACGCCGTAGATACTGATCCCCTCCGCACTCCTCGCTAACACGATCTTTATCACCTGCGGAACCTTAACTACACAGGTGGGACAGGTGCTGGTTATAACACAGGTGTTTTTTCTAAGCTGCATTATGTCACATTTATATAATAATACAAAAAGTACATTTTTTCTGGTCATTCCTTTACAATGTAACTTGAATCAACCCTTCTCCATAATTCAGGAAGTGGAAGTGTCAAAATATGATCGTCAGATGCCTTATGAGTATGTTTAAAGGCAGTAAACACAGCTGAAACCATAATTGTTTACATTCTTCTATATGTATCTTGTGGGCTCTTGTATGAATGGCAACCATACATATCAGAAATGTGAGATAATTGCAAAAATACAATAATGTACATGTATGGTGAAAACTGGAAGTATGTTACAATCATACAAAGATTTTTCAATTAAATCAGTTCAATTTTTGGTGCAAAAATGTTATATAATGGCCCCCTTTGTGTAAAGGAAAAATTGGAGCTGATGAAAGTCCTCTGTAATACATTTTTTAAGAACATGTCTGTAACTTATCACAGAGAAACAAGAAGTCAAATTTACTTGATATACTATACTGGTAGTGCTACCTTGATCATGTGTTTGTCATCATCATCATCATCGTCATCATCATAATAAACATCATCATTCCCATCATCGTCATAATAAACATCATCGTCATCATATACATTTTCATCATCATCACCAACATCATATACATCATCATCCCATCATTATCCCATCATCATCAACATCATCATCATTATCATATACATGATATTCCTACCTTGAGATCTGTAATTATTAAGTAACCCAGTGGGTATGTACAAAATGTATGTACAACAAAGGTCATCATTCATTCATTCATTTCTGAATAGGCTAGGCAGGTACAGGTCTATTGCTTGACATATCACAAACAACAGGCCACAATACTTTAGTAAGTCAAGTTACATCAACATTAGCAGACAATGTGTTATACTAAGCAAATCAAACAGGGTCAAATTCTCATGCAGGGCATGTCTAAAGATGATAACCATGTGAACGTAAAAGTATAATAATCCACTGATATTCAAAAAGTATCATTCTAAATGTGTAGAAATACATGTATGACATTATTTATGTACTAGTGTGTAATACTATGTATATGTAGGGTTTCACTTCTTAGCCTTACCGATGGAGGAACCCAAAATGATGCCATAGCCAAGAACTTTGCTGATCAGGATCTTCAGGCACTCAACTGGGAGAAGAGAAGAAAACAGTCCATATAGTCATCCTATTTACCGAAATATGCCAGAATACACTATCATGTGTATTGTGAATACATTTTTATATTATAGTGTATTCCGGTAGATTAATTTGATGAGTTAACATCCCAGGTTGCTGTAATTGGGCATATATTGTGTACAAATGGCCCTTGGAAAAAATTACTAGAACTTACTGGTACTGACTGTTTGTTTTCATTGCAAATAATGTTTGGCAGGGTCAAAGTGAGAAATGTAAAGAGGAAGATGGCACCAAAATAAAGACATGATATTTGCAAGCTGCTATATCTTATTACCTTGATACCTTGATACCGTCTACAGTCGAGTAAGGCTTCTTCCTGCCTGTCGTGGACTGGTCTAGTCGCTTTCCTCGTACTTCAAGTGCTCCCAGTGTCGATCCAATTATTCCCAGGGTTATGCAAAATACATTATCTCCCAGGGTCCCCAAAATATCTGGGACGACAACTTATCAAAGCAGGGTGTATTCTGGTATATTTCACCCTCCTTTATGTGTATTCCTACACGTACTCTGGTGAAACCGGTTTACTTTTATCATAACGGTCAAAGGACAATTTTCACATAAACCGAGGACGTTCTATCACACAAACAACGTGTGTAATAAATTTTTACTACACTTTGACTTAATATTTCTTCGGGCACAACGTCCTACACCTTAAGTTTTTTGTATAGCTATTGCCTTTCTGTACTTTGTAAATACTGCAACGTTGCAAAAAGAGAAGAAAAGTAGAAGCCAGTGTCATGTAACGTTATCCCACGCAACGACTTAATTGGCTGGTTATATGCTACAAAGACAGACTCTGCGGGTAGAAGAAACCCTACCGTGAAAGATGTTGAAGTTGACGAGCAGCTCCTCTATGCAGGAGTGCGGAATGAGGAAGAGAAGGAGAGACTCGAGCCACGCTGGAACCCACGAAGCCGCCATGTTCACCTGGTGAAAGGTCAAAGGGCGCTCAGAAGTCTCTGCAGTTTGGTACTGACTCGGCAGGTGGCGCTGCCTGATCTAGATCTCTACTCGCACTTAGCCTCTACCAGGCTTGGGAGAGGGGTTAGAAAGAGTAGAAATTAGCTAAAAAGACTGATAACATGGCAGGGGAGATGGTCCGCTAAGCCCATTGATAAAAGAAAGTAGTAAATTTGCCGCTGTCGGTCTTAACTAACTCCCCTGGCGTGTTATCTGTCTTTTTTTTTTGCAAATTTCAACTCTTCCAGTCGCCTTTCAGAAGCCTGTTTATTAGAGCTAGGCTAGCCTCTGTGACAACGTTAACATTTGCAGAGTCAACATTAATAGCCATGACTCCAATTGTTGACACAACCATGGTACCCTGACACGGTATTGACCAACCATTGTCGTTGCATCCGTGGTGTGGGGTACCGGTCGGTATCACGTTTCCTCCCACGTATTACGTAACAGCAGACCTCACAACCAGCGTAGGTGTTGAGGAAGGTGAAGCCAGTCCGCGGGTCTTAACGTCTACAAGGATCTAATTCGGCAGGTTTTCGACAACAAGAAGTCTAAATTGGCAGCTAAACTTTGTACGAGTGGCACATTTGCGACTGTCGCAAGACTGCACTCAATTTGATGTCGTAAAGCGATCATACGACGTGTGATAGGACCCTAGCGTTGACATGTCCGACGACACCGATTTGCTCATAGCGGCTCAGATCGACAGGAACAGCATAGGTCTGCTTCGTTGCCAGTCAATGGGAGCGGGGACAGCATGCTCCGGCTGCCGCAGATGGAGTACAGTGGTAGCTGAGGTGTCGACAAGGTAAAATCACACACATGTACATTTTACGTTAGATATAGTCTGAAGGTGGTTGTGATACTCGAACCTTTTTGGTTCGTACTTTGTAAATTCTAAAAATGAGTATAGGAATTAGTAACATAGAAGCCTTTTTTGACACTGAAAGTACATCGACTTAATTTCGCTAAGTCTAGAACTAAACATACAGACGGATACGTGGTTACAAAAGATTGACCTACGTATAAGACTATGTATATATGCATGCCAAAATGGAAACGGAAAACGGAACTTCCAATCCCGAATTCAAATCGTGTATACTAGTATCTGTTGACGTTTATTGATTCTAATTGCATTGCAATTTAATCTCTCTATTTACTACAGACGTACCATGGATAATGCTTATTCTAATGATGTAGAGGAGTCATACGAGTCTGACCATGCGTGGTTGGATCCGGAAGAAAGAGATGAGAAAAGCGACAGGAACAACAGAGGCACACCGACAAGAACTTTTATTTGGGTATTCAAGTTGGTGATGGAACTAAGGAAGGTCAACCGAGTTATCGGTCACCTCAAGCAACGCCTCACTTGTGCTAAAGGTCGTATTAAGCAACACGAGGCAAAGTTGAGGGGATTTCTGTCCAAGTTGGGACAGTTAGACTCGGATGTTTACGATCTTCAGGACCCAGATGATGTTCACCTTCTGCATAAGAACTGGAAGGCTCTGTACGACGAGATTCAGGCGTGGTTGGGGGGACCCGAGGCAGCTATGACCAGCGACTCAAGTGATGCAGAATCAGAATCTGACACAGAATCAGAATCTGTAGCAGAATCAGAATCTGAGATTGACAACTCATTGAACTCATCATTGCATTTGACATTGTATCAGAAATTGTATCGGAAATTAATCCACGTAAAGCGTGAGGCCTTTTCCAGATTATTTCATATTATCTAGTCTTATCTTGAAACTATAGGGGTTTCTCAGTTTATAGTAATTGCTGTTGAATATCAGCAAGTAAGTCATGACAGTCATCACGAACTCAAGTGACAGTCATATAGACTTAACATTTTATACATGTCTGTATACTATAAATGCATACTTGTTTGTATATACTATAAATGCATCTAAATAGAGCAAGGAGGCAAATTTCAACTACATGTTGACATATGGTAACCTCTGCATTGAAGGTACAGGACAGCATATGCACGTGAAAAAGTGTTTGGACATTAGAAATTAAGCAGATCTTTCGGTGGCCACAAAGACAGTATCAAATTGACCAGGCAGTATTCATTTATCAGATACATTGGCCACCGAACGATCTCCTTGGAGATTAATTAGAAATTGCCTTACATATCATGGTTGAACGCTTTAGAAAATGTTTGTGATACTTGTAGAATATTGTGTGGTGTGAATGCGTGTATCTTGGATTGAAGTTCACGTTGATTGTATCTTGGATTGAAGTTCACGTTGATTGTATCTTGGATTGAAGTTCACGTTGATTGTATCTTGGATTGAAGTTCACGATTTCAAATATTTTCATTGTTTTTCTTGAGTGTGATGTAGTTTTCTACATTATCGAAGCGTTTTGTATATCACAGTATTTGATTTGTATAATGACAATGGACTTAATCGCCTATCCATGCCCAACATGGGTTTTGTACGTCTACAGTAAGACTACACAGATATAGGCATTCATTTAATCAAGATAATAAAACGCAGAAAGTACCTCTCGTGCGTATGTGTGTCTTGTTTCAAACGATTGCAAGCACTAGGTATTTTCAAAGCCGTTGCTGTTTCAATGGCAATGTTTGCTTTCTCTACATGGCATACCAGCTTGTTCGTCGACCATATCGGAAGTCATGGCTAAAGCATTCGCAAGTCATGGTTCTGCACTGAATACGTGGATACAAAATATGGTAGCAAGAGTCAAACCCTGCCCTGACACACGAGGCTGTATGTTTGTATACATCTTAATATATGGATAAGATGGATGGAGAGGTAGTGGAGTACACAAGGAAGAGATGTCGTAGTAAGATAATATAACTTTACAAGGGTTTTATAAGTTGAATATCAGTGCAATGCACGTGGTTATAAGGCGCGAGAAACATGATATAAATCTATTATGGCTGTCTCATTGTCATGTGACGGGCCCTGTGGATATTTGAGTTGCATGTAAGCGTCATCTTGTTTTTACATTCTGTTGTTTTCTATCTCGGTTGTAACCTCGACGTAACCTTGGTTGAATGGAACTCACGTCTCACTGACAACGAGTAGGACTAAAGCCAAAAAACTTACAAAAGAAAAGGTTTAGGGTTACTCGACAATTGCTTATAATAAGTTACTCATACGCCATACTCTCCCCGTTTTCCTATCGACGGAACACATGTTAACAAAATCATACCAGTTATATGTATACAGTGTGTAACATAAATAACATTATACCAGGACTGAATTTTCCAAGGTTTTTGTTTCTCAATTCAATGCTGAAACAAACGTCAAATGAGACAAATGGATAAAATGAAGCGGTAGTACATCCAGGCAAAGTGTGTTTGTCGTAGATAGCAGCGCAACTTTTCCTTTCTTCTTTCATGATACATAAAACACTATTGGTATTTATATTGCATTCCTATCAAATACTTGTCTCGTTATTAAAGTTTAAGTAGCTATCGAAAACACAGAAATGATTTGACGCCTTAACAGCTAAAAGGGATGTTTGTTGTTGCTTGCGTCAACAAGAGGTCAAAGAGGCCATTGCATCAAAGGGCGGGAGTTTTGCTCATGTGAAGTATTGAACATGTCGGAGGACTTCACATATATATCCGTTCTGGAGCCGTTTGAATGTGTTTTCAAGCAGTCCGATGTAGCTAACAGTGAAAGGAAGTATAAGAGGTTCAGGATTTGCGATATCAAGGTAGGCAAAAAACAGGGAATTAAGCTGTTGAAAAGGTTTGACGAACGATCGTTCACTCGGCAGGAGAGGGACCTGCGAGGGGCGGAGCTAAGGGAGCTGGTACAACGGTACTGCAACAGATTGAGGCATGAAGTAGTCATCTTCGGCCGAAACGATGCTCCCTTACGGAAGTTTGAGGACATCGCCAAGGAGTTGCTTCGGACCGATCCTGTCTGGTTTTCGTTGTATCCTTGTCTAGACTAGCTATAAAATTGCACTTATTTCATTTAACATAGTAACATTTTGCAGTTATACTATTAACAACTCTTAATTTATGAGCAATCTGAAGATGCCAAATCAAATCCAAAATGGTATGCCATGTTTCCTTTCAATTGCATTGTAAAGTTCCTTACTAACTTTTACAGTAAAGCACTCAACTATGAATGAAATAACTAATCTCCAAGCAGATTTTAGGGTGGCAAAAGTATACATTGGCCAGAGAGGGTCCATACGCCACCCAAGGGTGTCCTTGGGTGCTCCCGTAACCACTTGGGTGGCGTATTGGATCCTCTCTAGCCAATGGATATTGCCTGGCCAATTCGTACCATCATGAAATCAGGATCATGAAATAACCTATTCTTTCTATTGTAGATAGACTACCATCGTGGTGCTTTTTTTCGCTGTGTGGAATAAATGTATTTAGTACAAATTCAAGATGGGGGGGGGGGCAAGATGGTGGGTCACCGCCTGTAGCTACAATAATATATAATATGGGTTTGGACCCCAGTCTGCTTTTCACCAACTGCAGCGGCCCTTTTTTTGTCAACAAAGGGTCATCGGATATGATGCTGTTAGGCATGTGGGTAGATTTGGTGATAATCAATATTGACATAATAAGATGCTAATTAAGGAAATCAGCACCTAATTTTCATAATTATGAGGCCATCTCATAATTCCAACGCATTCCATGATAGGAATTTCAAACATATTGCATATGTAACTTTGAAATACAGGATGTCGATTACTTACTTCCATAATTATTATACTATGCTCTACCATAGTGGTAAATAAGGGGAATATTTCAGCAACTAAATGTAATGTAAAGCAGAACATCATTATTCAAATGGAACATAGATTTTTACCTCAATATTTACAGATATCAACACACAAAATACCATTCAAGGCACCTGCACCGTACTTTGGGTGATACATGCACAAAATTAAGTACATCTATACACTATACATTGTAAATGTTAAGTAATTATAAGGATGATCTAAGAATTTCTTGAATATCATTGCTTTCCTTAACACATGATTCAGTATAGCTACAAAGACAGTAGACGACTGCTTTGTTGCTCTAGTGAGAAAAGAGCTCGACAAAAAATCCGAACTCCTAGAGATGACAATCTACTTCCTGGAGGATGGAGTGAAATTAGGAAAAACACCTCGTGCAGTACAAGGAGGGGAGGAAGAGGGCGCTGTTGGCGGGGCGGTTGAGGAACATAATATAGCGACCCTTGTCCTGCCACATGACTGGAGGAAAAGCTTCCAAAAGAGCCTGGAAAAAAACATACACCTGTGCCATGGTCATATTGGTCCTGCCATGGAAGCGCTGCGCTTAGGACATAACTCTTACACTGACTCAGAGGGGAAAACATGCAACTTTAACGGTGGTACGGGTGACAGAGAGCTTGTCCAGGGTAGAAAAATATTTCAATCAAAACTTAGGTACAAGCTGCATGGTATGAATCCTCATGGTAAAAGCACTCTTTGTAAGGTCCATCTCAATGGAGATGGGTCAGACTGCTATCTGGTATATGTCGACCGGAAGTATATGGAGATGGGGCGAGTGTTTCTTCTTGTTGGTGTGTTTACTCACAGTGAATGTGGTATCAAAACCGGCGCGAGGAAAAAAGAACATGGCACCCAAAGGGGTGGTAGTGCAAATATACCAGATGCAACATTGGACATGGAGGCAGCTGAAAAATATCTGCAATAGTAGAACACCCCACATACCTCACAGAACAAAGTACATGTATGTATGTACACGTATTGAGATATCACTGTCAAGAAGAAAAAAGTGTGTGTAGCAATAAATGAACTTTGTGGAAACATGAAAAGTTTTTCCTTGTGTGTGAGCCTTTATTAGTCAGTATTGATTTCAAAGCACTTCAGATTGTGATCATGCATTTTTTTCATCATAATGGGCATGGCAATTCATACATGAAAATACCACAGCATCTTGCTAGAATTTTACAGAAAACTATTACCTGTAAGATTGGTGTTAGTTATGCATTAACAACATTCCAGTGCATATATGATGTGGACATAAAAAATGGCCCTTCATATCTGTAAATACATCATATGATAATAGGAAAACCCATTTATCCCCAGAGAAACCTTTACAACTCTTTACAGTGTAGATAATATACATTATGTGGTTCTTGCCCTAGCTTGTCCTGTGTAGCACTCTAAGTGCTGTATGCAGATGTTGCAGTAGAACTAGCAGTGGAAGGTGCAGCAGAACTGGGAGTGGAGGACTTTCCCACTTTGATAAAACTGCTGATGAAACCCTGGATCCCCTCCAGACCCTGGGAAGTCAGGAAGTCCAGATATGCACTCCTGTCCTGGGTACTCTGTGGAAAAAAATTATGTTGGAATGGAAGGCAGAGGACCACATCTGGGGCCAGTTTACACGGCACAAAAAAGTTTTTCATACGACTGACATGCAGTGCGTGTGCAGTGCAGTGTGTTGTAGGACAGATTTTTCGAGCATGTAAATAGGTCCGCATCCTGGACGTGCCACATGAAAGTGCAGCGTGGCGGACCTGTTTACATGCTCAAAGAATCTGTTCTACAGCATGTGACACGCATCAATTGTCGTGGGATGATTTTTTTGCTCTGTGTAAATTGACCTTTGGTTAGTGGTTGAGTAAAATAGAACTCAAATATCCCAGTGTTTATAGAATTTTTAATACATGTATCAACATCAATTCTCATTCAAGACTTCAAGTAAACACATGATGAATTCTCTTATGGTGTTTAAAGGAAGACAAGTAAGTAAATCCATTCACTCTCCAAGCAATCAACAAAAATGTTTCAGACGTTACCTGTCTGGACCTAGGCCTGGGTGTGATAGGGGTTCCTGGTGGCAGGGACTGTGTGGGAACAAAACATGGGACGAACATTAAAACATAGTGTCATTGTCATACCTACATTTAAATTCAATTTTTTGCACTAGGTTCACTTGTGCACCAGCTTAACTAAAATCTACTAGTACCTAAAAGTGCACAGAAAAATATTTGGGTGCACTTTGACAACATGAGTTTGGAATTCTAGCTAATATCAAAATATTAAATACAACAAAGACAAACTAAGGACAAAAACGAAGGCAATTATTTGCATGTTACCTTCTGTAGGAAAGTGTGAGTGAAGCCCTGCAGTGCTATGTGGTTGTACAGGGAGAAACTTTCACCAACGCCTTCAATACCAGTCTGTTTCACAACCGACTTTGGCACGTGGAAGACACTCGCCTCATTCTTCCCACTGGTGGAAAAAATATCAGAGAAACAACTGTTGTGATTGTGAAATATCAAAGTAAGTTACCCTCATAACAAAAGATTTGTATGTTCTTCTGTGATATGTCTGACTAACTGGTCTTAAACCACACACCACTACCAGTCGACTATCCCCCTGGCTTGCACAACTGTGTGGTCCAAGGGATATAGAATGGAGATGGGCACTGCCCTATGCACTGAAAGTTGTGGAAAGGAATTAAACTAAAACACAATGCAGAATTTAAGATGCTAACATATTTTCCCCATATGTACATAAAACAAAATGAAACCTGATGAGGAACACTTCTTTAGCCCTGTGACAGGCCTTACTGTTTCCTGATATACGGTTACAGAAAAGAAATGAGTTAAAAAACTTAAATAATTAATAATTAATTAATAATAAAAAACCTCACCTGCTGAAGGCCTTGCACCTCCACAGAGCATCACAGATGTCTAGGATACAGTTGTTGAACTTCCTAATGCTGGAGCTGGTGAAACCATACGACTCCTGTACTGGCTTCTGTTTCAGGGAGGTTACCTCTTCTCTGAACCTAGAGTCAAATAGAGGGATGAAAAAATATAGGGATAGGATGACACAGACTGAGGAAAAGTGTAACACTTTGTCAGGGCTCACAATACTGGGTGCAGGCACCTTAGTGCAGGTAAAATTGGTGCTGTGCACTATTTCTGATGTCTACCTGCACTGGTTCATGTAGTAATATACAATGTATACACATAGGTGTATGAATAAAGAATAAAGAAATAAAGAAATGTTGAAGAATAAAAGAAATGATGGCAATGGTTTCTGAACATTTTTTAGTGTGATCCTTACTTCTCAATGTCTGAGTGATGCAAGTAAAACCATATCTGGTTGAGGTAATATTCAATGTTACCTGATACATGTAGAGTACATGATACTGTACATGTTACTTACCCATACATGATGGCACATATGCGAGCCACAGTCAGGGCGTTGGTGTCAAACATGGCCATGTACACTATAGGTGCAGACGGGGCATGCACCAACGGGATGTCAAACCTGCGCTGTAGCTGGGTCACCTATGGACGGAAGGACACATAACCAAAACAGCTTTGACTCTGAGTTATCATTATCTAGGCAAAAATTACCACCATTAAGTCAAGAAATAGAAGTTCTAAGAAATATCAGTAAATCAAAAATCAATAATTAAAAATCAATATACATGTCATTTTTTTACAAGTTGATACAACTCAACAATGTTTGCCAGCTGAATATTACTAGTAGCACAATCTTTCTTGTACAGCCCTAACTACATTAGGTCACCAAGGAATTCATTTCTTGGATGGCCCAAGACTTCAGTGTCACTGATACAGCTCAAGATTTTGTCTGACCTTTTTCTAATGATTTCTTTCCTGTAATATTCTCAAAAGCACTACTGTATCACGTTGATGAAGGTTAGACATCCACATAATGAGATACACAAGGGAATTGTTACTGAAGTAACTAAATGGGTTTGAAAACTGTCAGATATTTCTACTAGCTTTTCCTACTTTTTGTTAGTGACCGAGGAAAACTAGTAGATGTAATCATACTTAAAATGTGTGATAGAAATGTGGGAACAATTTCCTTGTGAATAAGGGTACTAGTATCATTCCTTGAGACCAAAGTGAACTGGCAGTAGGAAATGTTCTCACCAGTTCAAAGAAGCCCAGTGTATAGTGCATGAGCATGGCATGTCCGTCCTCCTGCTGTAGTCCCACCACACACAGCCTGTCCACATAGAACACCAGCTCCTGGATAGACTGTAGGGCCGGGAACACCTCACTGTCCACAGGAAACAGGGACAGGCTGGAGACAGAACATAACATGTACATTCAAATGAAAGCTCATCTGTGTTGGTAGAAACCATAGTTGTAGTGTTTAAACTTCATTTGAACACAAGAAATTTTCAGACGATTGTGTCAACCTTCCTCATATCTATGATCCACATTACATCAGTAGTTAATCAAAAGTGTCTTAAGTATCCATATAATCAACATGACAAAAACATGAAGCTTAGGCAACCCTGACTAACTGATTCAATAGAAGCAGGGGTGTGTTTGGGAACTCAAGAATGATATCTCGATTCATACTTTAGTTAGATGATCTACCTTTCCTGACAAGACTAACAGAAGTTCTTACCTGGTTGTCTCTTCCTCAGAGTTTTGTGTTTGCTGGTGCCGTGCCCACTCCACAGACACATGGTTCCTCAGTAACTCTGTCAGACAGGCCAGGATCTGGCACTGCAGTAAGAAAATCATACCAGAACAGGTGTTAAAAAACGTGTTTCATGAAGTTGTAGAGTTTAAGATTCTTCCAACACAAGAAAGTATTACTCATCATAAATTTTTGGTCAATCTCGTCAACATTTGTCAGATGTGTGGATGAAGGTTGATGAGATTGACCAAACATTTATGGCGAGCTTCCTTTTTATGGTGAGTTATCTACTTTTTTGTCTGCAAAAAAAAGACAGTAAAAAACTCACCTTACAGTGGACCCTGGATGTGAAGAACAGCCTTCTGAGTGGTTCCAGAACGTAGTCATTAAGTCCTGAATGAGGACAAGAAGTGCGATATCTTTAGCTATTGTGTGACAGGCTGAATAAAAGTTCTAAACGGAAACTATGCAGCTCCAGATGTCTTACTGAGGGACGACTGCGTGTGCAAGATGTCGGTTAGCTTGAGGAATGAATCCCCTCTACTATATATTTTTCCATCGGGTATGATTCATTGATATGCCAACAGGGACACCAACATGCCAGTGTCTACAGCAATGACACCATATCGAAACCATCTATAGGCTGCATTTTAGACATGAATAGAACAAGGATATACAGAGGTTGAAGGGCAGTTGTATCAGTATTGTATAGTTGCTTACTCTGGAAGGGATGCAGTCTGGACCTTGTGATGAGCTGGAGGATTTGCGGTCGGTGGTCCAGTCCATTCCAGGTGAACAGATACTCCCATAGGAACATCTCACACAGGGGAACTCCCTCCTGGAACATGGGTTAAAGGTAAAAGGGTGAGACTTTCACCATAATCATGGCTTTCCCGTTCAGACCCTTTCGCCACGATCGTATCTCCCACTAACACCAGCTCCCAATGGAACAAATAAGAACACTTGTAACCAGCGGAGAATCAACCAATCAGAAGGCGTGTAGCTCATTGAGCATGTTTGGTGGAGTGATTGTGCCAAAGATTTTGTCCAAAATGTGGTAAGACTCACCTGTAAGAAGTCTGTAAAGTTGATGAGAGCCTTTAATAGTTTCTCTACCCTGGGTTTGGTGCTGGCAGAGGGACAGTCCACTAGATCTACAATGGATAAAACAATGTCACAAAGGTGAGTCATAAAGTTAGGATATGTTTCTAAATTCATTATTAGTAACAAACCAAAAACAAGTCCAATGTAAAAATCACATTGTAAACAGTATTTTACTGCAGTCAATAGTGCTACAATCTGATCTATGTAGATAGATGGTCGCTCTAATCTAGATATATACTGTAGCTAAACAGGATCTCTAATGTTTGAGTCAGTGGGAAAAATTATCTAAGGAATCACAAAAAGGGTCACATGGGCAACCTTATGCAGCTGCGCCGAGGTGGTCACTAATAGTAATGCATTGGGCAAACTGGGCGAATACACTGTGTGGTATTCTACACGTGACTACTTTCCACACCTTGGTGCAGTGTCCTGTAGAGCCAGTAGCCAATGCGATGTGCCACATGCTGCTGGGGATGACAGCTCACCAGGTGTTGGAGGTACTGAGAACGCAACACTGCTGCAGCCTGGCTGGGCAGCTGGGAGGGGAGGGAAACAGAACATTTATGAATGAATAAATGAACTTTATTATACATTTAGACCTAGGAATATTATTAGGATTTCAGTTTCGGTCCTGACTGAAAAAAGTAGGGTCGGTAGATAGGGCTTTTTTTGTTGTTGTTTTTTTATTTGTTTAGATTTGGGCTAAAATAATCCAACAAATAAAGTTTAACAATGCATTAAGTCTGAAGGATCTACCTGCTTGCTTGTGTACATTATGATTTCATCCGTTTTATTTTTAAAAATGCATTAAACGGTGTTTTAGACTCATTAAGAGGGTCTGAAATTCAGAAAATTTTATAGCTCTAACAGCAAGTCGATAAAAAACTACTAGGGTCAGTAGGTTACAATGAACAATGAATGCTCTTACTTCCAGGTTATCCAAGTTATTCAACAACTCTTGGAAGGAGCCGACAAGCTGAACTGGTACTTTGTCAGACTGGGCAGTCGTGTTCTGGTCCAAACATCCAGAGTACTCAATGGCAGGGATACAGTCCAGTTTGGCCTTCTTGGCTCTCTGTAAAACAAAGTCAAAGTTTAAACTACAATGTACAAGCAAAGTTTGACAAAGAAACTCAGCCAGGGCTCAAAATATTTTTTGCAGTTACATGCAAAGTTGCATGCAATTTCAAAAATCTACATGCAAAATTAAACCATGTATGGTTAGTTGTAAAGACAAAAGCTCTCAAACTTACAGTATTGTATTACAATACATTTTGTATATTCAACTTACATGTATTTACAGCTTAGTGGTGTTTCTAAACAATCAACTACAAATACAGTATTCTAATCTTTAGAGAGATTTCTGACTGCACTAGACCAGTTAATTTTAAACAGAGCTGCTTTTAATTTAAATGCTTACCGGTTCTGTTGTTGGGTCTACATCATTGATCAGATTTGTGATGGGGATTTGTGTCGTCTTCAGCCATTGGTCCCTCTCCTCTCGGGGGCAGTTTCTCAGCTGAACCTGGCGAATCAGGGCTGCCCATGCTTTATCTGTCTGTTTGAAAAAGACCTGGTACAGAGAGAGCAGCACAGTGATTAGACATTTCCTATCAGAAAATAGATGACTTTCCAACCTTCTAAATGCAAATCAAATACTCTACCCATAGCTATAGGCTATTGCACCTGAGTTTCTAGGTCTTGTAACAGTTGAGTAAAGAAACTAGAAAGTAACATTTGCAAAGCAAATGCATAATGTTTGCCTTCAGATATGGTCTGCTCTGTTAATTCTTACTCAAACACGTTCATATATGGTCAGACAGAAGTCTAAATCCCTCCTGTTATAAATTGCAACATGATGTAACCCAATACTAGTTACCATGGTGACAGACATCTGGTTCAGGTCATTTACCTTATTGGTTTGGAGAACAAGAGGTAAACAGAGCAAAAACAATTATTATGTTTTCCTTCGGTAAACATAAAGAAGGCTGTCATCCCTACCCTGTGTGTTTTGAGTGGTACGTTGATGAGTTCAGGGCGGTACAGTTTGTATAAGGACAGCAGGCCTGTCACATGGGGCTGGGCACCCACTCTGGTCTGCATGTCCAACAGGGGACGCACACGGAACAACCGCACTGAAAATACACAACAATGACATCTATCAGGTTAGTAAATACATAAATACATTCATGTAATATATTCTTACTCTTTGAAGAGTTGAAGCATCTACAAAGCCATGCTTCTAGTATTCTTATCGATCATTTTTTGTCTATGGTCGGTTGGGAAACAGGAAACACAACATTTTTTTGCCTAGGCCTAACAGATAGAAATCTCATTGTAAACTACAAGTTCATGTTGCTTATAAAGAAAACATATAGCAAACCACACTGTCTCACCATCTTGCTTCCTTGTCAGCAAATACAGCAGATGACAAACATGTGGGCACTGGAAACAATGGACAGGGCAATGTTAAAGTGGAGTTGTTTTGAACAACTCTCTATGTACATGTACAAGTAACTTAAACTTTCATTTGAAAGAAATTCCGTTGAATTAGTTGAAAGACAATAAAATTATACATTGTATTAAACATTGTGCCATGAGTGGTGCAGGTGAAATTTGTCTGGTGCAGGTAATTTTCAATGTTACCTACACCAGTGAAAAAGAATTTCAAGCCCTGCAGCTGAATGTAACATACCAGGACATCACTCTGTATGAAGAAGAACAGGACTCCATATAAGGCATGCAGCTTGTCCTTCCCGTCAATCAGGTCATACACAAGAACCAGCCAGCGCAGCAAGAGAGCCTGTAAACAACAAGAAATTGAAGATCTTCATGAATTTGAAATATAATAGTTTTTGTGAATTCTTTGTTTTACTCCCGATTGTGAATTTCTCTCTAATTCTGTATTTTTGCAGTGGTTCCTATAAGACAACAGACATGCATATAACAGGAAATTGAATTTGAAGGCAGGAATTGGAGTAACCTTTTCTGGGACCTTTGAGCTAACTTCCTGTTATCGTCCTCAAAATGACAGTTAATTAAACATAAGCAAACACACAAACAAACACACCACGTGACTAGATATGAGCAGACCTGAACATTTTTGGAAGGCTTGTTGGTACACATCCATGAGATGGCCCTCACTGCTGCCTCCTCTGGTACAGTAGTGGCAGGGATCAGGCACTTCACCAGTCGGCTGTTGGTAGAATCCGCTTTGGTGATAAAATAAAATAGTGATAAACAAAAGAGAGGGCTTTGTCTGTCAGGTTGCATACTAGTTAGTACATACAGATCCTGACTATACCTAAATACTGAAGTAGATACTTTTTTTGACTGAAACATTACTTGAAATCAGTGCAATTTTTTTAGAGATATTCTTTTATAAAAACTGCATGCAAAATTCAAAATATCGACAAAAGTCAATGTAATACATGTACAAATGTATGAACTAAGTTTTTCTAGCATTGCAGTATTGCATAATGACTTACTTTTCATATTGCATACTGCTCATACAAAAAATAGCTTCATGTCATGATATAAGAACTCACCAAACTTCCCGCTGGTGATGACTTGAGTGAGAGACAGGATGGTGTCAGGACTCAGGCCCTTGTTCTGGGCGTGTTGTTCTATCCCCTCCAGGGCCAGCTGCAGCTTTATATTGCCTCGAACCTTCGTACTGGCTGATTCTAGACATCATTTTTTTAAAAGAAAAAAATATATTTATCATTATCATATCAGTCAGTAGTGTTAAAAAATATGGAAAGTAAGGAATTTCTTGGCAATTATAAGTGGGGATGTGTGGCGTAACGGCAGAGCAGAGTGTTTGGCTCAGAACCATGATGTCCCGAGTTCGAATCCTTCTAAGTCACCAAACTTGTGCCCCTTGGGAAAGGCACTGTACACGACTTTCGAAGCTTTCCTCACTACGCCCATCAGAAGTTCACTATCTTATAATTTGTGGGCAAATTATTTTAAGTAAAACCAAGTATATGTGTATTACAGCCTACACTACTCATAAATGCATCTTACAAAGTAATAAGTTTTATAATGTTTCTCATAATAGTCATATATTATGTGGTACAAATTGCTACAACACAAATAAAACATGCAAAACAACACAAGCCCCCCTCCCCACACAGCAATTTCTGTGTATGTTGCTTTAGCGCCATAAATTTGACAGCTCGTTTTGCCTTCTCCTCTCGTAAACATAACCCTCATGGTGATTTCAAAAGAAAGGTACATTCCTCTTTTACGACATGAAAGCATGTCGTGAGTTGAATAAGTCTTACCGTCTGTAAAATATGACAAAGAGTCCTCCAAATTTGGGAGTTGTCTCGTAGCTTCTTCCGCCATTTTGGACCCGCTCAAAGTTTGAATTCTCTCGCGGTCTGATCACGTGACTACGACAACAACGTGATTTCACGAGAACACGCTGCAGTTCACACTACTTCCGCACGGCGGTGTTGTTGATGAATCAAAGCTTGGCCGTGCTGTTTACATACTAAATACTACACTAAATATTGGCAGGTAAATAAATTATGGTAGTAAATTGTCCAACCAACTTCATAAGGATTGATCTGCTTCCTGCAGAATTTTGAGTATGTAACTTTTCCTTCTTTGTAGGACCTTGCATGTAGTGCTTTCGCGGTACTGGTTTCAAAATCATTAGCAAATGCCAAACAACAGTTCCACGATCTCATACCTTCGCCAAATGGTGTTTACCCTTCCGGTGGACAATTTATACATTTGTACTCATTAATTTTGCAAATAAGAACCTCATTTGCATGGATTATATAAGTTGATCATATTCTCCAATCAATGACAGCCTAATCTTATTGATTTGAATAAATCATGTTTATTGCTGTTGAGCTTCACTTAACTTCCAAATGCAGCAAGTATGAATTTCACAGCGATTACAACTATGAAATTATAGCAATTTCCCATTAATTATGCAAATTAGGTCTCCATGTACATAATCGATAGCCTCAGATGTTTTATCGTTCTCAATTACATGTTACAAGTGTTTCATAGTCCTATTATCACTCACTCACTCACTCACTCACTCACTCACTCACTCACTCACTCACTCACTCACTCACTCACTCCCCCGGAGGCAATGGCCCATTATTAACCACCTTATCTGACACTTTTTCACTACAAGTATATGCATGTTTCAAATGATCGAATGACCACCCAAGAAAAACAACCAGCAACGAAGAGCGTAACTAGATAGCCTGTTTATTAGCATTATTATATCAGCATATCATGTAAAGTTGACACAAATGGGCTCAATACACTATTCTGTGGCACGATCGACTCTTTATTATTTTTCGTCTTTTTTTGTTTGTTTGTTGTTGTTTTTTGTAAAGGAGAAAATGGAGAGGTCATTGCATGGTCAATGTAAAAACGTTGACCAGAATCGATGTATTAGTTTAGCAGTACTTACATGCAGGTTATGCTGTCTACATAAGGCCACAGCAAGTAAATTTTATGAATGACATCCTCCACAGACTCCAAATCTAATGCGATAGGGCAAAAAAACAAGGCAGGACAAAAAAAAAAACAAGATTCCTACATTTCCAAATTTTAAAATCATAAACCTTGAAAACAAGAAATCATAGCTATATTCTGCTAAGTTTATTGCCAGCTATTACAACATTCATTGTCACTGAAAAATATAGTTTTCAATCATTGTACAAAAGATTTTGATTCAGTGGGAACATCATATTTATCTGTCATCCACGTCTCGACATGGCAACAGATCTCTTTGCCCATTTTCGGCATGTTGACCACTGTCAGAGGGGAACAAAATTTCTTATCTCTTTTTTTTTCAAAATAAGGCGAAAATCAATGCGCGCTGATGTCATCCATAAAAACTACCTGCTGTGGCCTAACGATAAATTACTGGCCATATGCTGGTATATAACCAATAGATCGCATTACAACAATATCAAATACATGGTACAATGTCAAACATCAACCCAATAAGGCATTTCACAGTTCCTAGTGCGCTTGTGCAGTCGTGATGCATTGTGGTCTAATCTCAAAGTTTAAGAATCCTGCAAGGAATCGACAGGGGTGAACTCTGACCTCTGCACAAGCGCACTAGGAACCATGACATGGCTTTTACATATGGTTTCTGAGTGAATATCTGTAAGCTATGGAAAATAACTCTTCTCTTTTACACTGGTGGCTCTGTGGCCTTTTTGAATGGCGATCATAGTTATCGTTAGACTTAGAGCGACTCTTAATGCTACACAGATCAAGAGCGCCACAGACCACAAAATAGCTGTTACACTTTTTGACTCTCCTTTAAATTTGCTATGTGGTATGATTAGGCTTGACTTTGGATTTCCTGGTACATGTACTAAGTCAGCTATATGTCGTTGTCTGTACAAGGGTTTGGTTTGGCTTGAGATTGTTGAAAACGATATTTCAACAAGTAATATAGTGCAATGATGAGGATATCTTTACCAGTTACCTACTTCTTCATCTACATAATCATAATAGTCTGGATCACTTTGCTTTAGCCGCTCTAGTCTCTGTAAAAATAAGTCTTTGGCATAGTCGTAAAGTTCAATGTCAAGAGTGTTCAGTTCTTCTACTCTCCTCTTTTTGTCTTCTGAGATGGGTGTTCTTCCTGCTGTTGTGCCGTTGACTTGCTCGAAAGGTTCGATAAACTTAAGTTTAAAGGTCCTTTCAAACATGTACTGGCTTTTCTTCTGGAATTCTGTGAGGCCAAAGAACGCCATCCGCCGCAGATTGGTCTTCGCACTTCCCAGAAGAATGCGGTTTCTCTGCTCCTGACTTACGCGGGATGTGTTGTAGCAGCCGACAAGGCTCAAGTCTGCCAGCATGCGGGTCTGGCGATTATTTGCGAGGTTCCACGGACAATCTGTGAACTCGTCCAAGCCAACACCCACCCAGTTGTCGTCGAAACAAGATGGCAGCTCCTTTTCTGTTGGCATTCTTCCATCGCACATGTGTCGAGAAGTTTTCCATGTGGCTCCCCGCTGTACGTGGCGCCACTCGCTCAGGTATCTGGCCACAGGTTCCCGCAGCATCGTGATGTAGAAATACCTGCAGAAAAACACAGATACCATATCAGTAAAGACCCCATTTCATTTTTCAACAACGGGCGCCATTTTAAAATGTAATCTCGCGAGAGCCAGCCTGGCGAGAACGTGCGTGAGCTTGCACGAAAACGAGGATGGAGATTTTTGTTTCTTTCACAGGACAATTCTGTGATAACACAATATTGATGGAATAGCAACAAATAAACGTTTGTTGGATGATTTTACATTTTTAGAACATCATAAACTCATAGATGTTAATATCGATTTGATAAAGCTGTGCATTATTTGAAGGTTTCCACGTCGACCCAGTTTAGAAGTTGAAAGGTTGCGGTCCTTCCGACACCACTCTATGCACAGAGCGGAACGTATCTCTGTTTCTGTAGCTCATGGAACTTAAAACACTACGACGAACAAGGGACTATTTAACTTGAAGTGGTGTGTGTTTATCTGCCATATGCACCCTTCCCGGGCTGAATGCAAAGCAGAGAAAACACCTGAAATGTGCGCACTGTACCCACATGTACATCAGACCATTGCATCAGCCCAATATAATAATAGCTACAATGAAATCTGCTGGTGTTGAGTTTTTCAAACCCCTAGGCTGATACCGGACCGTTAAGATTGCGGTGAACCACACAAAACCATAATTGCACCTTCATTCCCAAAAACCGTCACTCTGGGAGTACAAATTGTGCACATCAAGGAAAATCAATACCGCAAAAGTTAAGCATCATTTGGAAAGCAAGCAGGCAAATGAGGCTGCCATTCTGTGCATCAGTAGGATCAATGGTGCCTGAATGACAGAGAATGCTGCACAGATCCCCCGGTGAGGTAAAAATGTCAGCCCTCATTGAGGACGCGAGTCTGCGATTATCTTTCAATCATAGAAGGTAAAGAACATGTTGATACCGGTCTTCATTGGCTCATCATAACACTACAATCGTACTATACCTGTAATATTTGAGCGGTTCATCAAATAAGGAATCTGCCAGTATGTGATATTGCTAATGGCCAAGGGGTTGGCAAAAGCTCCTCCGTGGTTGATCGAACCAAGACTAGATTAGGAAACGCAGCTGACCTAATCAATAGAGTGTTTAGAAAGCCCCCGTGCTATCTGTACCCCTGGTACGTGTTTCTACCTCTGCCGGTTACGGAATCGATATTTTGCACACATAATGTTTCACACGATGTCAAAGTCAGCAGAACTGGGCATTATCACATTTACAGTTTATTCACATTCTTCTCGGTTCACTGGTCCAGGTCATTGATCATGACCTTATGTGTTTGGAGAAGAAGAAGAAGAAGAAAAAGAGCAAAACCAAATGTTTTCCTTCTGCGAAGGTAAACACAAACATATTGTATCTTCAGTTGTATCTATTACATCATTTCGAACGTCTCACTTCGCATCAGTAAAAAGGAAAAAAAACGTTCCAGATACGTTCTTGATTTGCGAGTGCTAGCATGATGTTCATATTGGTCGTATCAAAATCACGGGAAATAGCCCATGAAATGGCCTATCTGCCATAACGTATAATGCACAATGTGTTATCTCAATACCGTTCTGGTCATTGATCTAAGTACAACATACCGCACATCCACTTCGTAATTTCATTAAATGTCTACACTGAGTGTTTCACGATCTCAGTGCTAAGTTATAAAATGAAAGTTTCAGATTTGTCAAAAAAAAAAAAACGGTTTCCTGTGGAATATAGTCTCAAAAGCCTAGAGTAAACGAGAAGAGACAACAAAGAATAAGGGCAAGCAAACTTCAACAAGTTTACTTCACGCTTACGAGTCTGCTTCATTCTAGCGGAAAATTGTTAATTTTCCACCATACAGTGAAACGCTGGCTCCCCACATGGCACTACAGGGGATGATTTGACAGAATGGGCGCCCTTGAGGCACGTTCGAAATTATATCTAGGCACACTTAGTGTGCTATACTCATGTATGTGTTCTGACGAAGCAATACTCATGTATGTGTTCTGACATACCAATACTCATGTATGTGTTCTGACATACCAATACTCATGTATGTGTTCTGATATACCAATACTCATGTATGTGTTCTGATATGAATACTAATACATGTGTTCTGACATACGTACCAATACTCATGTATGTGTTCTGACGAAGCAATACTCATGTATGTGTTCTGACGAAGCAATACTCATGTATGTGTTCTGACATACCAATACTTATGTATGTGTTCTGATATGAATACTAATACATGTGTTCTGACATACGTACCAATAATCATGTATGTGTTCTGACATACCAATACTCATGTATGTGATCTGACATACCAATACTCATGTATGTGTTCTGACATACCAATACTTATGAGCATGTTGAAGAAAAGGCTAGGGCATATATTACACCCTTGATCTTATTCGCCCTTCAATTGACACTGAACAAGGATTTTCGGCATGGGGCTCGACTTAGAAGGCTGTATATGATCAGAACATTTGCTTCAGTCATAAACCCTAGCCTGATGAGGGGGATACAAGCTCATTCACGTTTGGGACCGCACTCTTCTCATAGCAGCGCCACCTAGCCTTGGGAGGTAGAATCAGTACTGCAGTCATTATTGAAAAATGTATATATATTACGTATGTATACCAGAAGGAGTATCAATACGTTTTCAGATAAATGATACCTAGATAATTTATACCTTCATATGTTCTTTTGAGGCTCTCATATAATCATCATCGTTCATAGCTACGTCCACAACATCAATGTTGGGTATTAGAGTAGTTCATCAAGATTTTATGTCGGCACTGGGAACATTTAACAGTTTTTTTGCTAACGACAAGTTTGCTGTTCAGGGAGTTGGCTGTAGCAATCTTAGTCGGCTACTTTGATTCTTATTGATTTATTCATTCCTCGCACAAAGTTTGCTTCTCCGGGGCTTACCGGTAAAGATTTGGTTGCACTTCATCAACTGAGCTCGCGATTCTAATCAGTGGATCCCACGGGTTGGTTCTCTCTGTGACTACTAATGTCCCCGGCTTCCACCCATATGTCTGCTAGGGTTTCCACGGAAAAGAGACCTATTTCCTCTTCCTTCCCAGACCTCCAATACCCTGTGGCTAAACCTTTCGTCTGACAAAGCTATCTGAGGCAGAACAGCGTGCCCCAATAGGGACGCAGCAGTCCCTTGTGTGCTGTTCCAGTTGTCTACAATGGAGTGTAATATTGATGGAGTTCTCGGCGCCCAATCTATCTTTTCAAGCATGCAACAGTTTCAGTTTGGCGCGTGTCAGGTATAAATAGGTGTGTGGATCGTTTGGAAACGGGAGGGGCGGATGATAAAGCTTGTTTTTAAATGCAAAGAGCATAGCAGTAGAACAGAACAGGTTGCCAACGAGAAGTCATTGGAAGCAGCGCGCAAAGATACTAGTAGATGGGATATCTGTGGTACAGCGATCAATACGCCGCCATTTTGGATCGTACAAAAGCGAGAGCTAGAGTTTCAAGGATACAAACGTTATAGATTTTTCCATCCACTTCCAGAGAGAACTTGAAGTTCCCAATTCACCAGATTCTCAATCATCCGGAAAAGACCAGAAGACCTGCCGAAAATTTGAATCAAATCTTTGAGTTCATCCTTTCTCGTCTAGAAAGTACCCAAGTTCAAAGAACCCAGAGTTATGAATGTGTCTTTCCTAATGTCATCTATAAAGCTTTCTCTAAACGTCTGAACAATTACTTGTCGTACTTGTAATGGAAGATAATGCCTTATTTGTCGTGCAGCTAAGATGAAATATGAGGTTCTCTCCACAGCTCAGACGGCTGGTGCCAGGTAGGCTAGTACGTACCGCGTATGGCGTAATCCCAATCCCGCAACATTCAGCTTGTTTAATTGGGGCGGTGCTCTTAAGGTGTCAGACAGACTTCTATCTTGGTACAGACGCTATACAGATGGCTAGTCAATGAGAAATATGACACTAGATTATGCTAAAATTGAGACCTTCTGGTGCGAGGCGAGGAATTTGATGAGATGAGGCTTTTATTGAGGTGTACAATCTGTGATATGAAGATAATTGGGAGCACATAGTGTCATCATATAAAGTTAGTGTTGAGAGAGTACAATTGCGCGGGCGGATTGTACTAATAATGTACAATTAGATGCTGATAGCTTGAAGCATTACTTCTTTATAAACTCAAGAGTACGTTTTTATTGTACTCTTCCATGCTGTTCATTAACCTGCATAATATTTTGACTGGAGATCTAGCGGAGCTGGTATTGAAATGTAAATCTTGAACACATCACGGATATTTAAAGAGTTACTAAGAGAGAGTTAACGTTTTGCAAAACTGTGTTATCCTATCATTTGACTGTTTCCTTTTTTTTAGACTATACGCGAATTCCCAGAGTCTTTGAAAATATAACATATAGACTAAGTGATGCTATTTGCATCAGTATTTTATACTTTGGACGTTTAAAACAGCACAGAAAAAAGCCCCAAGATAATTAATATTTTCTCAAAAAAAAAAAAACAATCCAGGATCTAACAGTAACCGTTTTCTGTCGCAATTGTCGGCATTTTTGCTCTATGAATGTTATAATACCGTACATTGGGATAACGTTGTTTCAACTTACTACGGTAGATAAGTGACTAGAATATTGACTTTGAAAAATCTGCTTTTCAAAGCCTAGAAACTGCATTGAGCACCTTTAACAGAGGCTGAATGAGTGTTATAGCTATTGTCTGCTTGATGTCAGAATGTGCATAGGTGAAAGACACGCTCAATATTTCCTGATATACAACACGCCTTAACCTGGGCCATTACACATAACAGATCAATAGAAATAAACTTTGCAGGGGAGATATCGAGGCCCGTGACCTAAAAGGTTTCCAAAAACATTGTAAGCCCCTTGGAAGTGTCGTTAGTCCTGGCCCTGAGGTCCCGCCTACATCGAAAATCAATCAAGGAAAGAGACGCTTGTAGCCACATTTGACTTTGAAGAAGTCACCGCACCTGATTTATATATAGTGCT